TATATATACGGACGATATTTGGTGTTAGTATTAATATGTATTGTTCCTGTTAAATATATTGTGAACAAAAATGAATATAAACATACAGCATAACACATAATAAAACAAGTTGGTTAAACATATTCTAATACTGTAATGTAATTATCATAACTCGTCTGAGCTGTTGCTCAATAATAAGCCCATGCATGGGCTTATACACGGAGGGTATTTATATATTCGGATGGGCATATATACCCCTCAAAGGGTGTTATTTAACCCCAATATTGGAGTTAACAGAGCTCAAATTTTTTAACACCCCTAAAAATCCTTTCAAGGGGAATTAAAACAACACCTTGAAAATAACAGTGTATTCGGAGCTTTACGGTACAAAACATGCAAACACCTATATAGAATATTATAATACTGTAGTTAATAAATAAAAAAAGTAGAACACTCAAACAGAAGCTAATCATGAATAATATAGAATAATTAAAATCAAATATTAGATTTGAATTAAAATCAAATTAAAATTCAAATCAATTCAAATCAAAATAGAGACTTAATGACTTGTTACGAAACATCATCACTCGCCTTTATTTGAACGCTCTATATCAAAGTTTACTTGATTACCTATGACAATAGCATCCACGTACAAGAGTCCACGTCCAATTTAAACAAGTCCTTTATGAACTTTTTGAACAGCGATAAACTTGAAAAGCTATTCGGAGGAGCAGCGAGAATGATGTGGTTCCAAAGCTTGACGATGATGACTTGAAATATAATGTCTGCAACGTGCTGGTTCGACAGTATGGTGTTCTCAGCGTTTTCACTTCACTCGTATAACCGTAAGTAACAGAAGAAACAAAGTTGAAATATCCATATCAATGTGTTCGTACCATAGATATCTATGGTTCGTACAAACCCTTATAAAAGAAAACCAAGTCCTTTAATTCCCCTTCGTGACATAGCGGCAGACGGTATAAAGTCACAAGTCGATCCTTGTACGATCGTTCTCCTTTTCTTTGCTGCAGCATCAATCCGGTCGCTAATATTCAATCCGGAATTGAATATTAACTCTTCATAATAGAAATTAGTCACATTTTGGCAGCTACTGCAATGCGACCTTCAAACTTTTAAAGTTAAGTTGGTGGTAGTCTATTTCTTCGTGACGTTAATTTTCCTGCCACGGCCGTGCTTTCTGTAACTAGTTGCAACCGCAACTGAATTTTGGGAAAGTCAGTTTTCTTGGGAAAGTCGAATGAACTGAATGTTTCTACTTTTAAAATGTTCAAGTAGTCAGACTTTCGCCTGGCAGTACTAAATATTATTGGTCTCACCAGTTTTCAAATTCAGCAAATTCGTTCATGAATAGCCGAAGCTGTCCGTTGTCTTCGAATAGGCAGTGAAAGAAAAGCTTTTTCTCATGAACGTTTCCTTCACATAATACACCAAACTCTTTTAGAAGTTGATCCACAACTTTGGAACTAAAAGTCACCAAAGGATTAACACTACGGTCGTGCACAATGACAGCGTAAGACCCTGTGTATCTTACACCAGTGTGTACTTTTACAACAAATCTTCTACCATCTCGTGGTGGGGGAGCGCTGAACTCCGGACCAACCTCTTTTGAACCTTCAACTCTTTCTATTTCGCATTCATCAGCCTCTACCGTGGAAGTAATCAAATAACTTGACTTCTCACGTAAAACTTTGCAAATTTCCTTATGCTTCGAATAATGTTGTTCTTGGCAAGATTCGCTGCAATACGCAGTGGTAAAGCACTTTTCGCACATTGTCGGTTTGCACTTCACACGACAATACGAGCAATATGGGACAGACAAATTCAACTTACTATCGTTTTCATTTTCTTTGTTCTGGTACACTTCGTTATTCTGGAATTTAACAGATTGAAAGGAATTGGGAGAATTCAAATGCAACGATTCCGCGACTTTATTAATTTCATCATCCACAAGAAGGCCTGGACCACCATTATGACAAATTTTATTCAGTTCGATGACAGATGGAGAAAATCTTTTCCTTTCAACTTTCAAATACATTCTAACTCCCCCAGTTTTGTTGCGAAAGATCTTATTCATCGATATATTGCACTGTACAAATGATTCGACCCAAATTCCCCAGGTGCCGTTATCTAACAAGTTGTTCTCTCTGACATGACTCAGAGACCGATCCATACATATTCCACTCATATTATTGTTATAAACATTATTACGTACCAGCGTGACATTTTCTGACCTGTAGAGCCTGATCCCATCGTGACCATTGTCGTGAATATCACAATTAATTACTACAACACACTCTGATTTATCAACGAACAACCCATAACCGCCATTATTATATATGCGACAGTTTTCAACTTTCAACGTCCCTCCTTTCTCCACACGCAACCCATCTTTCGCATTGTTACAAAACGAACAATCATCAACATCTGCACGACTTTGTTTACTACATACCAGTGGACTTCTTGTAAAACTGCATTGTTTTGCATTGAATACCCCTTCAGTTTTTATAGTTCGTTTATCATCATAAGAAGTAAAGTTACAGTTAAGGATCTTAACGAACGAATCAGGTAAACAATGTAACCGACATTCATTAAAACGGAATGACAAATTCGTAAGCATGCATTTCAACAAGAAAATGTCATAGTTTGACGTCAAAGAAACACAACAATTTTTTCTTGTGCCAACTAGAATACAGTTATTCCAAGGTTTCTCAACGGTTTCAGAACAATTTAGGATATATTCTTCCGATCCCAAAACCAAAATCTTCAACAAATCCGTTTCTACTTCCTGCGAAAACATCGCATCGAACAGTTCATCCACACTATCGCATATAAAAATGCGTCTTTGCAAGTCCGGAAAAGATTCCACGAAAATAGGGAAATCAGTAAAAATTCCCCTATTGTGATAAAAAGCCAAAGCAGCTGCTATTTCAGCACTAGCTTTATCATTCAGGTTGGCACTGACCGCCTTATTCAAGCCATCAAGTGCCAGAGCTTTCAAAGCATAACCCCTCCAGCAATATGGACGGCGCGTTATGTAATCATTCGCATCCTTTAAAGCATTTTCCCATTCCTCCAATTTTATGTAAACCATTGAACGCTTAGTAAGCAACAACGGATCGAAAGGTTTATTGCAATCTTGAGCCAAATTTATTGTAGAAGAATACGCATCTAATGCTTCTTCGAAGAAACCTTCTTTAAAAGCCTTGTTTCCATCCAAATCAAATTTATCTATCTTCTTGTCTAAATCAAGATCAATAGCCTCACGAGCAAGGTCACCAGCCTCACGAGAAAGGTCACTAGCCTCACGAGCAAGGTCACTAGGATCAAGGAAAAGTTCACTAGCATCAGGGGCAAGGTCACTAGCATCGGGAACAAGGTCACGAGCCTCAGGAGCAAAGTCATCCGCATCAGGAGTATGGTGAACAGCATCAGGAGCAAGGTCACTAGCCTCAGGAGCAAGATCACTAGCCTCAGGAGCAAGGTCACTAGCCTCAGGAACAAGGTCACTAGCATTAGGAACAAGGTCACTCGCATCAGGAGTAGGTTTTTCAGTCAGAGATTCAAGTAAATTAAACGTTGGTATGCAAAATCGTTGAATCATCATCTGAAATAGTTCCGGTAAAGGGACCCGAAGTGGAAAGAGGAAATCATCAGAAACATTCTTTTCAACCGTTTCATACCCTGCTAAAGGCAGCCAGTCTAACATACGGTAAGCAAAGTTCAAAGTGCGCTTTGCTTCTTCCTGCTGGTGATTTGCACTCAAATGAACCGCACATTCGTAAAGAATTTTAGCTGTTTCAGGAAACCACACCGAGTCTAGATGAACAGAGTCAAGACTGACCAACAAGTCTTCAGCATTTCTGCGAAGACGATGGGCATGCATACAAAGTTTAGACCACATATAAAAATGAGAAGGACTATCAGGTGGATCAGAGAAGGATATGTTTTCTTCTTCACTATTCCTTTCATCTAAACTAACATGATCAATGGGTGAAGGACATTTAGAGAATGCGTAAGAAAGCAACCGCACAGCATCAATGAAACTCTCTGCTTTCGATTTAGGATCAAGATTTTCCCATACTAGTTCCTGGACCAAACGATGGGTGCCGACACAGTTCGCTTCGACATACGTAAAAAGTGAAAAGTCAGTCAAGAGTTTTAGAATCTCACGGCAACCCAATGGCGATGACACGCATTTTCGATATGCGACGTCTTCCACTTCGGGTGTTCCAATATTGATTAATTCTTCTTGAACCTCATTTCCGTCGAAAAATGAACAAGCATTCATAAATCGAACAGCAGCCTGACCATCCGGGCTCTTCTTCATATATTCCATGTTGATAAGCCATGTCGTGTGAACAGCAAGACGTTCAGATGAGTCGTTACCTGCAGCAAGTGCTTGTTGACGACTGAGCAATTGCAAACGTTCGGCTTTATACTGCTCCAGATACAAAGACAATCTGCATCCGCGCGTTTGAATAAAAGCTCCAGCTTGTTCCAAAGCAAGTGGCAGTCTCCCCAGCTCTTCACAAAGACATTCTGCCGCGCTCTCGACATTTTCATCACGGATTACATTAGTTCTTGAAAAAAGAAATTGCTTCGCTTCTTCAGGGTGCAAACATTTCAGTTGAAGACAAAAGTCCTCCTCAACAACTGAAATTTCATTAACAAGTCGTTTCGGCTTTCGTCTTGTTAGCACGATAAAATGCCCAAAGATATTCTCTTGTGAAGGAAAGGAAAGAAATTCCATCACATTAGGTGAAAGATCCAGTTGATCCAAGCAGTCGAGTATAATGAGACATGGGTCATGTACAGTGCTAATTTTTTGCAGGATATTTGGCAAAGTTAAATCAAATGAATTGAGTAATGCACCAATCTTTACTGCGACGGCGTTCACTGTTTTGCTAAGGTGCGCATCATCTTCAGCCGAGAACCAATAAACACCTCCCTTGTAGAAATCCTTCATCTGATGAGCATACTCGGAAACTAAACTTGTTTTCCCAATTCCACCCAAACCACATACTGCTGCAACACGAACTTTCTTTTCCTTCGAAGTTTCCTCAACTTTCAAAATACGTTTAAGCTCCTGGATTTCTTCAGTTCGACCAGCGAAGTAACGATTTCGTGGGGGTGCAGTGAAGACATAGGGAATTTTCTCCTCTTCTTTAAAATAAAATCTTGAAAGTTCAGTCGTACATTTCTTCTCAAGAATTTTTATTTCTTTAGAATTTTTATCTCCCTGAATCTCGCACTTTTCTACTCGCATCCGCAGATCGTTTATCTCCTCACTCAAGTTTGACTGTATCTTGGTGAGGTTCAAAGTGAGTGTGGTCATCTGCAAAACGATAAATATTTTACCATAAATTTTTAAATATTTGAATTGTCGTTACAAGATGTTTAGATACGAACTCTGTAGTGATGCACCGATTTAGAAATTCACCGATATTCCGATAACCGATATTGAAGGATCGGTATTTTACCGATACCGATATTCTATGTCATTTCACAAAATTCAAAGACGACATCATGACAGTTCTGCTTTGATACTTTTGTATTTAATTCAATTCATTTGTTTCTAAATACCGAAAATATCAAATGAAATGCTGCAAATGCATGCAAACAAACTAGTATATTGTATAATGTTTCCACTTTTAGATTTTGATTTTCAATACTTTCAAATCAAAACTTTGATTTTTCGTAATTTTTAAGTGTAAAGAATTCGTTTAACTAGTTTTCTTAGATATCGGTTATATCAACAACAAAATTACCGACACCGACATTTCTATTTTAGTACCGATAAGCCGATACCAATATACCGATATAGCTGACTTTGCACAACTATTCATGTTTCCGCATAATATATACAGTTGTCCACTACTATACAAGAACTGTATAGGTTTCATTAACTCTCATTGCCTTTCAACACATGTAGACACAACCACTGACCATAATTCACAAGGCAAGTCACTTGTTAGTAAGCAAAGTTTCGAGCAAAGCGTTACCATATAACGCATACCTTAAAGATCAAAGTTTGGTCATATATATTAACACGAACCTCAAAATATCCACAAAATGTACTCATATTGGTCACCATGGAAACACACAAACAATTCATTATGAAGGCGGAATGCTTATTTTGTATCGTCGAGTCTCTGCTCTATGTGATACAAACAACTACTGCTTTTATTACATTCTGTGCAGGAAAATCTAAGAGTGTACAGGGTGTATCAAAAAAAGCGCAATCCTCGATTGAAATGTAAATTGCTAAACAAATAATAGACGAAAACGTTAAAGTTTACATTCATTTTAAAGCATAGCCATTCAGCTTTCTAACAATGGGTTGTTTCTTAAATTTGACTCATTGGTTCGCGGGTAATAATACTTTACGTTATTGCGATTGGAGATTAAAAAAATTGAGATGGAATAACAAATCGTTCTCATGAAAATAACTGATTTTTTCATTAAAACAAAAAAATGTTGCATTTTAATAAATGGATTGTAACAATAAGTATAATTACGGCTTTTCTTCCACTATTTTTAACACAGTTTGAAACTTCAAATGCGATATAATTTTGGCTTGGACCATCTAAGCTGACTGACATCAACTTGCTATAATTTCTGTTTACATTACATCGCAATTCGATGACACTCTGGCTCAGACACCAGAATGTTTTGATGATTTTTAGCATTCGTTTAGGATTTTCAAACAACCTGGTCTCTTTTTAAAATACTTTTAATTTGTTCTTACGTGGTTTTCCAGATGTAGTGACGACAACATTAAAGTTTAAAGAAGAAAATTCTAACATTTAAACCGACTAAACAATAACATAGTAAACTTACATAATTAAACAGCAACTAAAAATGATAGGTTTTACTAAATCTTTTCCTGTGCAATCATTACTAGCATTGGAGACAAGGATAATA